AACGCCAGGGCGCTCCGGCCGGCTCCCTACTCACTCGGCAAACATTTTCTGCAAGAGCTATTCGGGTACTTTATTTCAGTGTTTTTTTTGTTTAGTTTTGTTTTGTATTTTTTTACTTGCATTCATTTTAATCGATCTCATTCTAAGTTAACACAGCGTCCCAAATGCAACTTAAAAATGGAGTGAGTGGGATAAGCCCCGAGACCGGGTGCCTGAGCAGTGCGAGTTTATCCCGCTAGCGTGGCCGCACCCGCCGCTCTGAGCTTGGCCGTTACCCGCCGGGCTCTGCCGCTTCCTCCGCGCCTTTCCGCCCGCTCTCCGCGCTACTGGCAAACTGGATTCCTCTCCGTAGTGCAGAAAAAAGAAAGAAAGAAGAAAAACATTTTTTGGGGAAGGTTATTTCGTTTATTGTATTTGACTAGCCCAATTAAAAAAATAAAAAATAAAAATAAAGACGGGGATATTTCAGGACACCTGGAGAACACGGGGTGAATTTTGTTTGCTGGATTTTTTTTCTTTTTTTTTGCTGCAAAATACCGCTTGATTAAGGGAGGCAAATCTGGGGGGACGTGGGGAGGCACCTACACAGCTGGACCTGAGGAGTTTATTTTTAGTGTTTATTTTATTATAAACCCTGAATCATTTAGATTTAAAGAACAGGCATCTCAACAGGAGATAAGAGGGTTGAAAGAGAAGCTCATTTTAGGAGAATCTGTTTAATTTCAATTTGTAAGTAAAAGGCCCCTAAACCTGCAGTTTCCCCCTTTAAAGACCACAGAACCCCCAGAAGAGCACATGGAATTGTCGTGAGGAATCTGGGCAGGCCAGCATTTAGGTAGGAGAGGCATGGATCTGCCTTTTCCCTCTTATTTCTGCGGTGCAGCTACTAGACTGATTACCTTGGCCTCCATCAAGGCCATCTTTCCTTCAGGAACAAAAATTAGGCCCTAGGGGACCTAGGGTCCCCACACCCGCAGTGCTACAAGGTGGGGGTCCTGCCATCTATAGAGCTGGGAATAAGGGGGCATTCAGAGGGGGAGAGGGAGCACTAAAGGTCTCATTTTGCTCTGATGCAAGTGACAATTCTGGACAGCAGCTGCTGCTCACAGACTCACCCCCAAACTGCTTTAGCACAGTCTCTGGGCAGAGGATTTTGGGTGAATTTTTACTAGAAGAGAGAGGTAGAGCTCCTGTGAGAATAGGGAGGTTCCAAAAAGAACCCCCTTCCCAGACGGACGCTTGTGGCTCCTCTGCCAGATTTCCTGTACCCTAAATCTCACCCTTTCTCAGATTTGGGTTTCCCCAAAAACCCAGAAGGAGAAGAAAAGAAGATGGCGACTGAGAAAAGGGTTGCTGGTGGAGCAGCCATGAAGAAATGCAATAAATTCCTTGTTGTTTTATGAAAATTTACAACTTTGTGATAGAAGTTTATGAGTGGTTGAATCCAGCGATTGGCCGGCGCCGGTCATGTGGCCGGGCGATCGTGAACATGAACTTTTTATCATTTCCCTGGTGGTTATAATGCAGCATTCTTTTGGACACCACACCTAGGTCGGAGCACTGTCGTCCTTCAGGGCTCCAGCCTCTTGATATTTTTATACTTCAGTAACGGCTCGATAAAGCAAAAGAGAGAGAGGAAGAGAAAGGGGAGAGGAAAGAAGAGGGAGAGAGAGAGAGAGCGAAGGAGGGGTGGGAATTACACAAAAGAGAGAACCAAAAATAATTTTAATTTCTAAGTTAATTTGTTTGCTGATCTGGGATTTAGTCATCATGGAGGGTAAATGGACAATCTGCCCAGGACTGCAGCCTAATACCATTTTTCAAAGCCAGAACTTTCTCCATTTTCTATGCAAATATCAGAAAAACGCAACACCCTCTTTCCCAAGTCAGAGAAGGGGAAGCGACGGCTCTCAGGTTGGGACAATATTATCTGGAAGATGAAGAAGAAACCGAACGCTCTTTTTTATTCCCCCCCTTCCTCCCCACCCCTTTCCATCGGAAGAAAGAAATCCCAAGGTCTGCAAAGGTAAGGGAGATTCTACAATTCTTATTCTTTTGCATCGATTTTGCAGGGGGTGGGTCTTGGGTTGCTCTCTCTCCTCCCCCATTCCAAGATGGGGCTGAACCCCACCTCTGGGCACTGCAGGGAAAGGCTTCCTAGGAAATTCGGTGGCCAAGAGAGGGGTGGCTGTTTTCTGGAGGGAGAGCCAAGGCAGGGAGGACGCGTGGAGGAACCGAAAGGGGCCCCCTATGCAAACTCTAAGTTGCCTTTTTAAGCTGTGAGGAGAGGCTCAGGCAAGGGGGCTGTGAAAGAGGATGGGGGTGTCTGGGCTTCAGGACGCCCGCTGAAGCCCTTTGCTATGGCCTTTGTGGGTCTGCGCCCCCTCCCCCTCCCACCGTCCCTCCCTCGTTCGGTCTCCCCCAGTTGACCCCGCTCAGTTCTCTTGCCCGGTGCGGGTATGGGCGTTTTCCCGGCAGCATTGGCACGAGGGGCGGTGGCTCTGAGGGATGTCCTGGTCTCTGGAGGGCCTGGAATCTCTGCAGAGGCCGGTGGGGCGAGGAGGCTGCAGCTAGTGAGACACAGAAAGAACAACTCGAACAGAAATGCACATTATCTTCCTTTGGAGACATTTCTGAAATTAGAGGGCTGTGGGTGGAGGCACCCAGATCAAGGGAAAGTCCCTTGGGAAGCCTGCCTGAGAATGCCCGGGTCTCTCGCCACTCCTGCAGGAGGGAGCCTCACTCTTCAAGGAGACAATTTTGTGGTTTTTAAACCGGTAGGTTACAGCATGTTGGTTTCTGTGCAATATTGATTCAATTGCTTGTGTTTTATTGGTATGGGGTGTGTGGATTCCCGTGGAGGAGAAAATTGCCATGTGTGTGTGTGATGTGGAAACACTTAAAACTTCCCTGGACCCAAATGTGGTGATTGTGAGGAATATGGTTAGCATGTTGTTTGAGGCTTGTAAACAAAACAAGAGAGAGAAGAAAATAAAAAGAAAACCTAACTAGGCGACCCTATGGTGTCCGGACAGGAAAGCTGCAGGGAGCTGAGCTAAGATGGCTAGCCCTGTCCCTCCGGCGCCTGATTTCACTCCCTAGTCAGGCCTCCTAGGGGGTGGGGAGGGAGGAGAAGAGATTCTCCTGTTGGGCAGGAGACCAGATTCTTAAAGTAGATAGTGGGGTGGAAGAAGGCAAGCCACTAGGTGAGGACTTTAATGAGAAGGCTTCTGGGGAAGCTTCCAGCAAGAGATGAGCGACTTGGGTGCAGGGGGCAGGAGAGACTGTGATTTGATTTGGTTTGCAAGAATAGGTTTACCTCTCTCTTTTTAAAGACAAGGTGCAGAGCGTTAAGCCTTGGGCCTTTGAGGGTCCAGGGATTGCGGGGTCTCGGGATGTGTAGGGGACTATTGGCTTTCTCAGTCCTGAAGTGGGAGAAGGACGCAGCCACTTGTGGCTTGGGCGGGGGGTGGGGGTCCCAGGAGGCGCAGGTAGATGCCAGCCAAGCAGGCGGGAACTGGGTGCCTGGAGAGACCCCCTCAGCTGCGTAGCGAGAGTCCTCGGCCAGCACCCACGGCACTTGGACCCTATTCTCAAAGGAACAATTACCAAACCCACCCAGACGATAGGTTTTTTTCTCCTGTAGTCTTGGCGGGGTATAAATCATCCCTGTGACAGTTTGCTCTGGCCCAAATTATGCGGTTTGCTGCCATCTACTGTTCGTTCGGAGACATGCGGCTGCAGCGCCGCAAGCCCGGCGACACTGCCTGAACCGTGCCGGACACCCGGATCACCGGCCGCTCAGGTTCGCGGGATTCGGGGACTTCGGGCCCAGATTGTCGCTTTCTGCTGTATCTTGGTCCTGCGTGTGGATTACGGAACAACAAGTGTCCCCTCCCTCTGCCGCCTCGCCTGGCCCTTCCCAGCTCCAACCTGGCGGCTGGCTGGGGAAGCAGCTTTTTCTGGGGCGTATTTAAAGAAGACTAATACTGCATCCCGCGGGCAGGGGGCCTGAACCAAAGGGTTGGGGGATCAGAGTCACGATCCCCACCACCACCACCACACACACACACAGCAGGCGCGAAAAGGGATCATCCGAGCCTCACGGGAGATCCGAGGCCAAGGCTGTTAAAGGTTTATTTGGTTTTCTTTACGGCCAAGGGAGGGGACCAGCAGGGAAGGCGCCGGCCCCGGCAGTTCCACTCGGTTGTCAAAAGACAAACCGGGTCTGTGTTCTCCTGGTTGGATGGTGAGTCTTGCCGGTTGCTGGGCCGGTGAGTCCGTGGTGAAAGAATTGAGCCGAATTTTCCGGAAACTGTTGGTGCTTGCAAATAGTGTGGGTACCCTCCCCCATTCTCGATCGTTTCAAGCGAAATCGACACAAATACGCTTTGGGGAAAAATTGGGAGTGGGAGTGGGGATCAATCATTAAGGAGCCAAACCGTTGTGATTTCCATTCTTGCTGGACCCCTCACACCCGCTTAACCCGACCGCTTTCTCAGAAGGGGGTGGCGAGGGCGAGGGTACGCGCTCTGCCGCCGCGTTTGAGTATTGGCCCCTGTCTCACGGGTTACTGATTAGCTCGGGCTTTCAAGCTGCAGGAGGAGGCTTTGGCCGCTCTTTTCAAGGTGCTGTGGCCCCGGTTCCTGGGCGAGGGCTCCAGGAAATTGCCTGCGGTGCCAGGCAGGCTGAGGTGTTACTAAGGTCTGGTTCGGAGCTGGGAGCGGCGGAGGTCTAGGGGCCGGCCCGTGCCGGGGGGCAAGAGCGGCGGCTGCGTCCCCCGCGCCTCTGGCGCCTCGTGAGTCTGGGCCAGAGGAGCAGCCTTTTCAGCTTTTCCGCAGCGAGAGTGACTTTATGGAGGCTCCAAGGCCCGTCCCTGAGGGAGCGCGCCCGGAAAGTCTTGGGATCCTCGGAGCTTTTTTCTTGTGGGCAGTCTGAAGGACAGGTAGGGAGGGGAAGGCGGCTGGTATAGGGGGTTGAAACACTTCAGGGCTCTTAGGGTGCCCGCGGACCTGGGGGGAGGGAACAGGAAGGGCTATCTAAGCACGCTGGCCACCCCTACCCCCGAGATTAGAGACATTGCCACTCATTTGCATAATGGAAATGAGGTCTTTGTACCGGCCAATTTTAAGGCAATGTCCCATGTAAACAGCTCCCAAAGGATGGGGGCGGCCACACTGCTCCCTCTGGGAACATTTATGTTCCCCAAACCCAGAGATTCACAGAGTCTAGGCAAAGAATTGGGTCGAGATATTTTAATTTGCCCCATCCCAGCCAGAGCTGGGAGTGGGGTAGAGGAAGGTGCCCACAACCCAAAGAGCTGGGCATTCGGGGAGCTTTCCTTTGCAAGGAAATGGGAAGCCTGGACAATGTCTCAGTCCCTGCTCCCCTCCACACCATACAGGCGAATACACCTCCCTCAGGTTACCCGTACAGAATTTCACTCGCAAGCTGAAAACAGCTTAGGCATTTCCCTGGGAGCTGGAATGTGTGTGCCTCCATAGGACTGCAGATTTGAGCACAGAAAATTACAATTATAAATCCTGCCAGTGGGGTTTCTTTGCAATCCTTCCGTTGTGTACTCAAGACTTGGTACACATTTACATCCACCTCTCCATGCACACGCTACTTTGAGGCAGGAAGAGACACCCCAGACCAGCAGACGGCTGTGCCCGCTGTGTATTTACATATTCCTTCTTGGAGACAGACTGATGGCGGTGGACCGAACCACAGACGCATTGGTAGAGCTCTGGCTCCAGAAACCAGGCGGTCTCTGGCCGGGCCCTGCCTGCCTGCTCTTTCTCCCAAACAAACGGATCAGACGAATAAACGCTCATAAATACCTCTGGGCTTAGATAAGAGCGATGAGGCGCTATTTCCTTTCATGCTGGACTCCAGGCACCCAGCGCCTGCCCTTATGGCTCCATCTCACTACAGGCAACCTGCAGAGGTGAGGTTAATTTGGGTCTGTGACTCTAGGGATAAGAGACTATTTTCTTGTTTCTATCACAGGGGAAGGCTCCCTCCCTCAGAGCATCTCACTTTGTCCAGACTCCACAGGAAAGCCCACACTGTCCAGTACTAGGATAGGCCAGGGAGGAAGGAAGGAGGGATGGCTGAGGCTCAAGGCCCAGCCTCAGTGGTGTGGAGGAGGGAGGTGCACACAGGCGCTCTCCCTACCTCCTGCCCTTAACCAAATGTTCCCTGTTCTTCTCTAGGAATGGGCCTGATCACAACTAGATTGGAGCATTTATGACTCTCCATCATTAGGAGGCTTGAGTTTGTTTTCTTAAATCTTGACAAAGCCTCATACATAGTCTCAGGCTAGGAAGTGGCTGATAGGACATCCAGGGATCACCACTTGGTCATGAAGGTGCAACCTAGAGGTTGTCTTGAGTTCAGGGAGCTTCTCTGGGCACTTTGCAACCAATCAAGTTCCTACCCTTGGTCATCATCCCCCGAGCTCTACCACTTTCCCTAGTGTCTGTGCCATCTTCAGTGCACAGAGCAGGCCCATAAAAAGGAACCCAAGAACAAGGCAGAGTGTCAACCTGGATCCTTCATCGTGAGATTGTGTCCCACACCCTGGCCCCAGGTTTGAAGTTTGTCATCCTTTATTGCCTGACCTCCGCATGTGTATTAGAATGTTGCAAACACATTGTGTCTCAATCTTCTGGCCTGGCCCCAGTGCTCATTTTCCTGTTTTCCTTAGATGAAAGAGAGAGAGCCAGAGACATACAGTCTTTCACACCAAAGCTTGTATGACAGCAGAGCTGCCGATACAAACATGAGACCTGGGAGGGACTGTAGAGATGCTGAGAGACAGACACAAGGGTGGTGAGCATCTGGAGATGGGATGCGGGCTGGTTGTTTTATGCTGCCTGCTGAACCCCCAAGAGGACCCAAATGCCTCTCCCTCCTTGTAAAATTAACCAAAACCAAATCTTGGGAAATAATTAATTTTCAAAAGAACCAGCAGCTTCTGGAAAGAACTGGAAAAGATGTGAGGGCCCCTCTCTTGGTGGTCTCTAATTGCACCAAATATCAGGATGGTTTGAGGACCTGGAATTGGAGGAGGAATATTTTTCCCTGTATGGACTTACTGAGACATCTTTGATTCCTAAGAATTTGTAGCATAGGATATCCTAATGTCTTCCAGGGTATGAGTGAGAGTTGCAGGTAGGATAGGGATCAGATAAACCTCGGCTGTAGGGGGCTGGGCGGGGATGGCCCTCACTCCTCTCCCTATGCCCAAGTGAAGAGAGGACTAATCTTTCCCCAGTGCCCCTTCCCATGCCAAGAGTGAGCAAGGCATACTAGAACCAGGCAGGAGGTCCTGGGCAATGACAGCAGTAGCCTCCTATGAAGCTCCTAGCCTAGCCACAGAGCCAGAGGGAGAAGCTTGGACTAGGACCCTCCTCCCATTTTCCTGGCCTTCTGGGTCTTCTGGGCAGCAGGCTCTGGCCTGCCCCTCAGACCTTAAGAGTTGTGGAAAAGCAGGAATAATAAACAGGCTTGTAAGAGACAGAGTAGATCTGAGAGACAGGAAAACGGTTTTCAAAACCTGGAAAGGAGAGTGTTTCTTCTTCTTTGCTTCTCTTTCTGAAGATGATGCTAATTAGCAGAGGACTCTTCAGCCCTTCTACCAACACAGATCCCTGGAAACAAATCTCCTTTAGTTGTCTCCTAAGGAGACTGAGATTCAGGATTTGGGACATTTACCCACCCTTCCCGGGAGGGAATGGGACTCGAGCAACGCAGGGGTTAACTTTTCTGAAAATACAATTAACTTTTTCCTATCCTGCGAGGAGGGGGGGAGGGATATATTTATTTAATCACTGGGGGATGGGGTGGTCTCAACCCAAACGCTTCCTCCTCCCCCAAAGGCACAGACGCCTCTTTCGCAGATACTACGTAGGTGGAACAGGACCGCGTTGTGTTGTTGGGGAGAGAGAGAAAGGAGAAGGAGAAGAAGGAGGAAAAAAAAAGGTTGATAGGTTTGTGCGCGGGTCCCTCGCGCGGGCTGCGCTCCTCCTGGGTGCTATTTGACAATTCCTGCCTCTGCCATTGGTCAGTGTTGGATCAGATGGTTGTATTTCCTTCTGGCCCTCACTGGCACCTCGCCATCCCCCCTCAGCTAAAACCCAATCTCAGATATACTACTAATAGGCGCGGCGCTCGGACTATAAAACACAACAAATCATAAACCCGGCGGAGCAGCAGCGGCCCTGCGCGCCTCCCCTCCCAATGAGTTCCTATTTCGTGAACTCCACCTTCCCCGTCACTCTGGCCAGCGGGCAGGAGTCCTTCCTGGGCCAGCTACCGCTCTACTCGTCCGGCTATGCGGACCCGCTGAGGCACTACCCCGCGCCGTACGGGCCGGGACCCGGCCAGGACAAGAGCTTTGCCGCGTCGTCCTATTACCCGCCGGCCGGCGGTGGCTACGGCCGAGCGGCGCCCTGCGACTACGGGCCGGCGCCGGCCTTCTACCGCGAGAAGGAGTCGGCCTGCGCGCTCTCGGGCGCCGACGAGCCGCCCCGGTTCCACCCCGAGCCGCGGAAGTCCGACTGTGCGCAGGACAAGAGCGTGTTCGGCGAGACCGAGGAGCAGAAGTGCTCCACCCCGGTCTACCCGTGGATGCAGCGGATGAACTCGTGCAACAGTGAGTGAGACTTCCCCGGTCGCCCCGACCCCCGCGGGCCCCCGCCTCCAGGACACAGAACTAGCTCCCCCCTCCATTCTGCCACAGGCTGCTGGGTGGGGCTCAGTGAGGAGCTAAGGGAGGATTGAGCTCCTGCACGGGTCTTCGCTCTGTCCTCTCGTCCTCAGGAGTCACAAAGTTTGCAAAGTCCCAGCTGCGCTTCGAGCTAGGAGGAGCGCCAGGCCAGCACCGGGATTATGGGTCAGGGAAGGGGGCAGCGGCCACAGTCACTAGCTAGGCTCCCCTTTGGCCCCCAGCCCTGGTCGGGTCCCCCACCCAAAGGCTGTTCCATTAAAAACGGAGTGCGTCATGGGAATGGGGGCGGTGTGACGCTGGCGAGGGCGAGATGTCTGTCCCGGACTGTGTTTCCCTGGGGGTCGGGGGCTCCGGAAAGATGAGGCACCAGGAAAGGGGTAGTAGTCAGAGGAGGGAGGGAGGGAGGGAGAAGGGGAAGAGAGAGGGGGAGCGGGCGGAGGGAGAGAGAGGGGGAAGCAGGCGCCTGGGTCTCAGGCTGGATTATTTGCTGGCCTTACGTCCCAAATTGATGTCCATTAGAGGGACACGAAAGTGAGGAGCCGTTAGTGCCGACTATGGATCGATCCACGTCATTAAGGATTAAGGGCCGGAATCTGTCACAGGGTGGTGGGGGAGCCAGATGGATGGAAAACATCCGACTGGAAAGCGGCACACCTGGCCAGCGCTTCCCCAGCTCCTCCCCCTTGGCTCAGGTGGGATCTTAAACTGTTCCTCCCATCCCCCACCAAGAGTCTAGACCGCTGGCATAGGCCTAGGAGACCCGAGAGAATCTGGAGGGGGCGCTGGAGGAGTGAGAAAGGGGGGCAGGAAGCCGGAAGAGTGGAGGGCATCTCGGGACAGGCTAGAGTCCATGTTTGGGGGCCGAGGGAGCAGGGGGGGCTTGGCCCTGGTGACCCCAGGCCTCAGCCATTCCTTTCTGCGTAACAGGTTCCTCCTTTGGGCCCAGCGGCCGGCGCGGCCGCCAGACCTACACTCGCTACCAGACCCTGGAGCTGGAGAAGGAGTTTCACTACAATCGCTACCTGACGCGGCGGCGGCGCATCGAGATCGCGCACGCCCTGTGCCTGACCGAGCGGCAGATCAAGATCTGGTTCCAGAACCGGCGCATGAAGTGGAAAAAGGAGAGCAAACTGCTCAGCGCGTCTCAGCTCAGTGCCGAGGAGGAGGAAGAAAAACCAGCCGAGTGAAGGCGCTGGAAAGGGAGGCGGGACGCGAAGGGAGAGGCCTGTGGGGGAGCCGAGGGCATCGGGGAGCCCCAAGATGGTTCTGCGGGCGGGGGCCCGGGGGATCTGCACTCCAGCGCAAGACAGGCGGGGCCTAGCGATCTCCTGGACGCCCCCGCCCGCAGAGCTCGATGGGTGCTGGGATGCCGAGATGCCTGAGCCCATTCAGCACCCCGAGCGCCCCTTCATCTCCGCGGAACCCGCCTCTGCTCCATCAGGCTCCCCTGTGAGAACGGAGGAGCAGACTCGATGTTTCCTGGAAGCAGAGCAAAATGCTCTTGTCCGTGTCGCGTCTCATTTCGTCCATATCCCCGTGCACGGTTCAATGGTAGATTTGCAGTCCCCTCAGCCGGGGCCTCGAAGACTCCCTGGCCCCAGACCTCTCTCCCACCCCACCCCTAAAGCCACTGGAAGGAGCACATACTACCTAGAAGTAAGAAGAGGAGCCTCAGAAGAAAACAAAGTTCTATTTTATTAATTTTCTATGTGTTGTGTTTGTAGTCTTGTCTTAGCTCTGGACGTGAAATACTTCGGTAATATTAATATTATTAATAATGATTATGATAATAATAAAGACGTAAAAACTCGCCGCTCAGTCACCTCTGCTCCTCCCCTGCCTCTCCCCCACCCCCACCATCACCCCAGCGTCCCGGTGCGGGAAACTCCGCAGCAAAGGCAGGAGCTCTGGGCTGCCCAGCGGGCACGACACGATTCGGAAGTTACAGTTGAGCTAAAAGGCTGAAGCGGTGCTGCCCAAGCTCCCGCGCCGCGCCTCGCGGGTGCTGAGGGTCCTCCATATGCCTCTCTTGGTGCAGAATTTGGGAACGGAGAAGGGCAGTTTCCCTCTCATTCTCTGACTTTCCTCGTTTGTCTGTGGCACGAGGGAGGCCACCGAGGCCCTCTAGCCCGGAACCCCTGCAGAGACTGAGCCAGGCGGAGACTCGCGCCTCAGCAGCGCTTTTCTGTCCTCTTGCTCGCCGACGCCCGCAGCCTTTGGCCTGCTCACATAGCCTGATCTCTGCCGGCTTTGGCCCTCGGCTCCCAGCTAGTGGCTCCGGAGACTAAGCCAGGGCCACCTGGTGTCTCTCCGCCCGCAGCTGAAGGCTCCAAGTGCCCCTTCCTGCCTCAAGCAGGAGTTCGGCGACAAGTAGGGGAATGCGAAGGGCACTTTTTCCTGCTTCTTGGAGACCTGAGGCCAGGAGGCCAGGTATTGGTTGGGGCAGTTCAGTCTCATCCCCTCAACCAAAAAAGGACCCATTCTCTCCCCACCCTCACCCTCACCCAGGCGGCAAGCTGAGGATAGTGTTTTCCTTTCTTCCTCCTGACTCTTCCTTTTTTATTTTTAAAGAAAATACCGCCGGGCAAAAGGGCCCAGCTGCGGCGGTCTCTGGCCGTGCAGCGTGCTCAGCAAGGCGCCCCCGGTCCTCAGAACCCCTTCCCCAGGAAGGCGTAGGCTCCGGGCAAATTCTGAAACTACCCAGACACCAGCGAGGGGCCTTGAGTGGGGCCTCCCAATCAATAGCGGGCATCTGGTGAGGAGGTGAAAGGGTCTTTCTTGCCTTGATCCCAAATTCTAAGAACCATGTTTCCACCCAGACCACAGCCACGTACTCTGATTCCCGCCACTGCCCCCCGCCCACCACCACCACTAAACCCCTTAGTCCCAGCTGCGCTCTTCCTCTGGGGTCCCTATCCCGCTCTACCATTCTGCCAGCCTGGACTAAGGATGGGAAGGAGGCCAAGAAGAGGATTCCAAACTTGTAAGGGCACAGAAGTGACAGCTTCTCCTTGGAACTCTCGGCCCAGACCAGCCCTGCCCTGCCAGCTGGGCCTGGACTCTTTGGATGGGCTACTGCAGCCCCATCAGGAAGCAGACCAGGCCAAGCTCACCGGGGAGACCCATTGCAATAATTGCTTTTCACACACATCTTACAGCCCTCCGCCCAATTTCCGCCCCAACTCGTGAGACTTACAAAGCCAGAGTAAGGGAAAAGCAACTCAATCTTTGATCATCTCATTCAGAGTTAAAATGATAATAGGGACGGGAGAAGGACACAAAGACAGAGACTAACCCCACTACCAAGAAAGTGGGTAAAGGCTCAACTGGGTCCCTCCTCTGAAAGACGCAACCCTGCGGGTGAGCCTAGGCCGGGTTTTTTCTCGCCAGACGTTCGCAGGAAGCCAGCAGGGAGGCAGCGGTCGCCGCCATGGCGGTCTGCGGCCCACGCTCCCGCCGATCGCCGGGAGGTGGCGCGCTCTGCTCAGAGGCCGCCGCCAACCTTCTCCCTGTTTCTCCCCCTTCTTTTTTCCCCCTCTCTCGGAGGCTCGCATTGAATCGGCCCTAACGATTCTCGGATCGTCATTATTTGTAACCATAGAGCATGAATTACCTCTTGAGGTCATCAGCGAGAATTTACGACTGGTCAACAAAAGCACGTGACTCCCTAACGCCCCCCCATCCCCCTTCCAACCCCCCCCCCATATTTGGCCGCATACATAGCAAAACGAAGTACAGTGCATCGCTATAATTCATTAATACATCATAAATCGTGAAGCACAGGGTTATAACGACCACGATCCACAAATCAAGCCCTCCAAAATCACCCAAATGAGCTCGTACTTTGTAAACTCCTTCTCGGGGCGTTATCCAAATGGCCCGGACTATCAGTTGCTAAATTATGGCAGTGGCAGCTCTCTGAGCGGCTCTTACAGGGATCCCGCTGCCATGCACACCGGCTCTTACGGCTACAATTACAATGGGATGGACCTCAGCGTCAACCGCTCCTCGGCCTCCTCCAGCCACTTTGGAGCGGTGGGCGAGAGCTCGCGCGCCTTCCCCGCTCCCGCCCAGGAGCCCCGCTTCAGGCAAGCGGCGTCGAGCTGCTCTCTGTCCTCGCCCGAATCCCTGCCTTGCACCAACGGCGACAGCCACGGCGCCAAGCCCTCTGCTTCGTCCCCCTCCGACCAGGCGACCCCGGCCAGCTCCAGCGCCAATTTCACCGAAATAGACGAGGCCAGCGCGTCCTCGGAGCCTGAGGAAGCTGCGAGCCAGCTAAGCAGCCCGAGCCTAGCTCGGGCGCAGCCAGAGCCCATGGCCACCTCCACAGCCGCGCCCGAGGGGCAGACTCCGCAGATATTCCCCTGGATGAGGAAGCTTCACATCAGCCATGGTAATTTTCGCTCTCGCTCCCTTTTTTGTCTTCTCGGCTTTCCTTCCCTGCGTTTGGGGGCGGGGGGCGAGAAGAGCTTTGCTTTTCCTCAAATATAGGTTTATTTTTTTCCAGAGGGCCAGAAGTCTCTAAGACGGCCCTCTCAGCTTGGGGGACATTGCCAAAGAAGGGCTTTGGCTAGGGGGTTGGAGAGGGGTATTTTTAATAATGTGTTCCCGGACTGGACTTAGATTTTATTCGCCCAGCTGTACTAGCTTGAGGATGAAGGATGGGGTTTCTGTAACGTGAGGAAGGGTCCTGCTTGTCCCCGAAATTTTGAGTCTGCCGCTAGCAAAGGAGGGGCGAGCAGTAAACCGAGATTTCCAGGGCAAAAGTGCAGCCGCTCTCCTCCCTCCCGGGGCGAGCGGCCGCCCGAGCCCAGCGAAGGGTGAGGCGCAGGGAGGGAGCAAGAGACAAAGCCGGGCGCATTCGCTGCCGGCACAAATGGGGGCTTCAGAAGGGGGTGCAGAAAGCCAGCGTGGATGCGGGCGTCTGGAGTGGGAAGGATTGGAGCTGCGGTGAGCTGGGTGCCGGGGGACGCCTGGGTCCTGCTCCACGCCCCTCTCCCACCCAGTGCCCCCTCCCTTAACCGGAATAACGTTGCCTTGCGGCGCTACTCTGTCTGCTCCAGATATGACCGGGCCGGACGGGAAAAGGGCCCGGACCGCGTACACCCGCTACCAGACCCTGGAGCTGGAGAAGGAGTTCCACTTCAACCGCTACCTGACGCGGCGGCGGCGCATCGAGATCGCCCACGCGCTCTGCCTGTCCGAGCGCCAGATTAAGATTTGGTTCCAGAACCGGCGCATGAAGTGGAAGAAAGACAACAAACTGAAAAGTATGAGCCTGGCTACAGCGGGCAGCGCCTTCCAGCCCTGAGCCCGCCGGGAGGAGCCCTAGGCAGCCCAAGAGCCCGTGCCGCCCCCAGCCCTGGCCCCTCTAAGCCTCCCGGCGCTGCCGCTGCCCGCTGGGGACCACTTCCCAGGAGCCTGCCTCGCCCCAGCTTTGTGTTACGATTTTTCGTTTGGTCTTAGATCTTCCTGTGGCTCCCTCCCTCCTGGACTGGTTAATCTTGTTATTATTGTTAATAATAATATTATTATTTTTCTTCCATGCTCCCCACTCCCCTCAACTCCCCCCAAATCCGCCAGTGTTTCTGAATGTTCGTGTCTGTGGTTCCACTCCTTCCCCGAGGAAGAAAAGAAACTCGCATGTTTAATGTGAACTTCCCTCCCCATCTGTGTTCTAACTTATTTATAAAAGGATGATCGCTGTATTTTGAGTTTCAGCTTGAAACTTCTCCAAGGGGCAGCAGTTGAGGTGGGGTAGTACCGCAGTGCTGGGCCCAGCTGGGCTGGCCTTGGAGATGGAGTCCATGACTGTGTCTCTTTCCACCCTTTTCTCTTCCCTCCCCACTCCCCAGGCCCGAGTCTCCCAGTGGCTTGGTCCTGGGGTGGGAAAGGGCCAGAGAGGACCAAAGGGGTGAAGTGGAGAAGAGGGAAGGTAAATAGTGAGATTTAAGTTCCTGCCGCCTGGGTAGGCCCCACAAGGCCTAGTCTTGTTTTGTTTCCTAGTGTATGGAAACAAAAGTAATCCTCAGTGTAAAATGTGTTGTGTATTTCTCTGTGAATCCAGGGGTCTGGCGCAGAGGGCCCAAAGCTTGTAAATATGGGGATAGTCTGGGTCAGACCCATCCCCTCCTCCTCCCCATTTCACTCCCAGGACCATTTGTAGTGAGCGGGTGGACGCTGTGCTACGTGTGACTCTGTCTTTCCCTTTGCCGGGCCTGTCTCAGTGATTCGCTTTTGGTATTTGTTTGGTATTTGTTTCCTTGAAGTCAAATAAATGTCTCCCCTACTCCACTGCCCTTCCACTTGTCTTTTCTCTGGGGGCCTGTTTCTACCATCAGCTGGCACACCCTAGACCAGTCTTGATAGATCTAGGGTATAGGGAAGGGAAAGCAGGATGCTAACCAGCAGCCCCTCTCAACCACCCAAGTCCCTGGCTTAGTCAGTGGTTTTGGGACCAGGGTACAGGCTTTCATGCACAGGGGACTGAAGAGGCCCCCAAACCCCATGTGGGGCTGGGGCAAGGGAAAGGCTGAGCTGGACTCCACCCTGGCCTTCTGCCAGCTAGCCAGAAAAGCCTTTGGAAACCTCTTAGGGAAAGTGATTTGGGTCTAAATCCTGAGCTGAGCAGTAGGGTCTTTGCCTTTGAGGAGTGGCACAGGCCTGCCTAGCCCTTCTGTCCCCTAGTCCAAATCCCGATTCAGCTCTGCCACCCAATAAGTCCAAAAAAAGAAAAATCACTTTAATTTCAAAGGCTTCCCCTCAACCTCAGTCTTCTCTACACTTATCAAGGGCTCCCTCTCTCCAGGGGCCCAACTGACCTTCCATTTGACTATGACTTGGGGTCCCTCCTGGAAGACCCCTGGGTCCCCCACCAGCTGAATGGCTTAGGGCCAGGGCCCAGTCCTCCTCCATCCAAGTCAGCCTCCACCCTGAGTGCAAGAGTCAAGTCTGAACACTTACCCGGTCAATCCCTTCCAGCTTGGCCCAACTTCTTACAGGACTTGGGGGGAGGGGAGTTGGTAAGGAGGCAGCCGAGGGTCGTGGAGGCTCCACTGGGCCCTCCTTCTCCCTCACCCCTTGACTTTGTCCCCCTTTGTCCATAGCAAACTATCCCAAAAGTCGCTATGACATTTAGATGTCAAATGGATAGGGGTTTTATCTCGAAGTTAGATCGTAAAAATCGCCGAGAAGTCAGACAGATACCCCTCACTGGCTCGAGAAAGTCACGTGAGGTCCATAAAGTTAGTTTTATGGTTTTGGGGAGTTGACACCGCGCGGTATATTTCACATTCTCCAGAATGTTAAGTGACACTTTAACTGCTCGCTGTGGTGGGGAAGGGGGCAGAGGTAGGTGAGCGCTCTCCCAGCCCAGAAGGCAGTGACGGCAGCCCAGGCCCGGCACTACCACAGTAAGTGGCTTACAGCTTTCGCTTTTTCCTCTTGCAGTTTTGGGGCTTGGAACTGGAGGATGAAATCTTGCCTCCGGCAGAGCTGTAGGGTAACAAGTGGGGGAAATTTAGTCTGCTTTTTGCATCAAGTTATGGCAAGCTGGTTGTCTGAAATGGGGCATTCGGTTTGATAAGGCCTCAGTGGTTGGGGTGCCTGGCTTTTATTTGCAGGAGTGTCTGACTGCGGGGAAAGGGGGCTTGCATGGTTTCCTTCAATGCCCTGAGAATTTTAGGGGGCAAGAAGGAGGGGTGTGTACTGCTGAAAGAAGGGCCCTTTGTGGGGGTCGACTTCCCTGCTGGGTATCTTCAGACAGACACCTCCCCACCCCCAGGAAAGAAACTTTATGACATTCATTTGTCAGGGGTGTGGGGGGCGCGCCGCTGGGCACTTTTATCTACATCTGAGCTGAGAAAAAGCTCGGGAAGGCTAACGTAGTTGCTGTGGGCTGCCTTGCACTGGGGCACTGTCTTGCTTTTAGATTTTTGAACCTCCTGAAAAGGGGGTACCTCGCATTCTCCATGGCCTCATCACGGTCATCCGGGATGGGGAGCACAGAGCTTGGGCATCCAACTCGAGCCTTTTGGTCTTCAGCCAATGCTTCTGCTTGGCTCTAAGAGTTTTGAGGTCAAGGGAATGAACAGAGGGGGACAATCCCCTCAAATCCCAAACCCAGTTCTTAGCCAGGAGTGAGGTGGGGGTAAGGGGAGAGCTTCTTCCATTGCTTACATGAGCTGGGTGTTTAAATGTCTCCATAAACAAAACTTGCTCCAGAACACAGACCCCAATTGTAGGGAGTAAAAAAGGGACTCAGGAGCTGGGAGATAAAACTAGAAAGGTGCTCCCTTTCTTCTCCTCTCCTTGCCTCTCCTCTCTCTCTCCCAGACTCTTAAAAGCCCCTTTGTTTTGTGGCACCACAAACCAGATGGATTTTGCTATTTGACCCCCAGGGGACCTGTTATTTTCTAGGGATAAGTCACCCTTCTTCTAAAAGCCAGAGGTCTCTTCTTCACCAAACTGACTCCCAATTTTTAAGATCCTTGGGGTCAGCTACCCCCTGCTTTCGCCAGCCCACCATCTCCTGATTCAGCTTACTGGCTCCTGTGGATAGTCCCTAGAATTGGACATGAGGAGCCTTAACAGGCTTCTGATCTCTGGGACAAGAAGAGGGGCACAAGAGCTCCTCCATTTCCCATTACAGGACACCCACCTTCTCCTCTTCTCTTTCCTGCAGCCATTCTGTTCCCTGAGCTCTTCCACTCCTGCCCAGGCCTGACTTGCAGACCCTTCACAGGCTCTGAGAGCAAAAAGTTCAGAGAGCTTGGGGCTCACACCCGTGATTTGAAAATATGTCTTCCTGGGAAGGATGGGGCATTTGGATCCCTTAGAAAGGAGTCTCTGGTTAGCTCCCGAAGGATCCCCAGCACCATTCAAAATACTAATAAAATTAAGCATAGCTTCCACAGACTCTCTGGACAAGGCAGATGAGTTGAGCTGGGTGCGCAGGATAAGTGCAGCAGGGGCGGAATCCAGGGAGCCCCGTTCCTATTGTGCCCCTGGCTTCCCTACCTCCCAAAACCGGACCACCAGGCCTGGCCCTGAAATTTTTTTTTGCCCCCTCCCAAGTCAGTTCTGCAAATTCTGATAAAGTGTGTGAGGCTGATGGCCCAGGGACATCTGCTGGGCATATCTAGACAGATTTTCCGGAATGGCAAAGAGCAGCTCCGTCGCAGGGGGTGCCCACTTCCTCTGCAGAGGCCCAAACTCTTACAGGGTCTCCTGCTCTAAGCAGATCCTAGAGAAGATTCCCTAGTTGGGCTTTTGGGCTTTCCTCTTCCCCACTTCAGATTCTCTGGGCAACAGTCTTGAACCCCAGCAGGAACAAGGTGCGGGAGGGATGCGAGGTGCAAAGGGGTTTCTGGGGCAAAGGAGCTCTCTCCTCTGCCTCACCCCCAGGAAAGAAACTTTATGACATTCATTTGTCAGGGGTGTGGGGGGCGCGCCGCTGGGCACTTTTATCTACATCTGAGCTGAGAAAAAGCTCGGGAAGGCTAACGTAGTTGCTGTGGGCTGCCTTGCACTGGGGCACTGTCTTGCTTTTAGATTTTTGAACCTCCTGAAAAGGGGGTACCTCGCATTCTCCATGGCCTCATCACGGTCATCCGGGATGGGGAGCACAGAGCTTGGGCATCCAACTCGAGCCTTTTGGTCTTCAGCCAATGCTTCTGCTTGGCTCTAAGAGTTTTGAGGTCAAGGGAATGAACAGAGGGGGACAATCCCCTCAAATCCCAAACCCAGTTCTTAGCCAGGAGTGAGGTGGGGGTAAGGGGAGAGCTTCTTCCATTGCTTACATGAGCTGGGTGTTTAAATGTCTCCATAAACAAAACTTGCTCCAGAACACAGACCCCAATTGTAGGGAGTAAAAAAGGGACTCAGGAGCTGGGAGATAAAACTAGAAAGGTGCTCCCTTTCTTCTCCTCTCCTTGCCTCTCCTCTCTCTCTCCCAGACTCTTAAAAGCCCCTTTGTTTTGTGGCACCACAAACCAGATGGATTTTGCTATTTGACCCCCAGGGGACCTGTTATTTTCTAGGGATAAGTCACCCTTCTTCTAAAAGCCAGAGGTCTCTTCTTCACCAAACTGACTCCCAATTTTTAAGATCCTTGGGGTCAGCTACCCCCTGCTTTCGCCAGCCCACCATCTCCTGATTCAGCTTACTGGCTCCTGTGGATAGTCCCTAGAATTGGACATGAGGAGCCTTAACAGGCTTCTGATCTCTGGGACAAGAAGAGGGGCACAAGAGCTCCTCCATTTCCCATTACAGGACACCCACCTTCTCCTCTTCTCTTTCCTGCAGCCATTCTGTTCCCTGAGCTCTTCCACTCCTGCCCAGGCCTGACTTGCAGACCCTTCACAGGCTCTGAGAGCAAAAAGTTCAGAGAGCTTGGGGCTCACACCCGTGATTTGAAAATATGTCTTCCTGGGAAGGATGGGGCATTTGGATCCCTTAGAAAGGAGTCTCTGGTTAGCTCCCGAAGGATCCCCAGCACCATTCAAAATACTAATAAAATTAAGCATAGCTTCCACAGACTCTCTGGACAAGGCAGATGAGTTGAGCTGGGTGCGCAGGATAAGTGCAGCAGGGGCGGAATCCAGGGAGCCCCGTTCCTATTGTGCCCCTGGCTTCCCTACCTCCCAAAACCGGACCACCAGGCCTGGCCCTGAAATTTTTTTTTGCCCCCTCCCAAGTCAGTTCTGCAAATTCTGATAAAGTGTGTGAGGCTGATGGCCCAGGGACATCTGCTGGGCATATCTAGACAGATTTTCCGGAATGGCAAAGAGCAGCTCCGTCGCAGGGGGTGCCCACTTCCTCTGCAGAGGCCCAAACTCTTACAGGGTCTCCTGCTCTAAGCAGATCCTAGAGAAGATTCCCTAGTTGGGCTTTTGGGCTTTCCTCTTCCCCACTTCAGATTCTCTGGGCAACAGTCTTGAACCCCAGCAGGAACAAGGTGCGGGAGGGATGCGAGGTGCAAAGGGGTTTCTGGGGCAAAGGAGCTCTCTCCTCTGCCTCAGACCTGCGTCCTCCCCTCCCATCTTCCCTAAGACATTTTTGGGGGAAAGCTGCTCGTCTCTGGTGGATTCCTCTCCCTTCTCTCCCACACGCTTCCCTTCTATGCCTGGGTCCAGGCCTCAGGCTCCTTCCTATACTACAGGCCGGCACCCTCTGGCCAAATCCTTATGCCCTCCACCCAGCCACCCACTGACTGTACACCCTCATCCTGGGGCAGGACCCAGACAGCAGCCAGAGATTAAGGCTGCAGTTTCCCTTTTCCCTCTGAGGCCAGC